AACATATGGTCTATCCTGGAGAATACTTCATGTGCACTGGAAAAGAATGTGTATTGTGCTGTTGTTGGGTGAAGTGCTCTGTGGATGTCTATAAGGGCAAGTTGGTGGATGGTATTATTTAGTTCTTCTGCATCTTTGTTGAGTTTCTTTCCAGTTGTTTTATTTTTCATGGGAATGAGTGTATTAAAGTCTCCTGCTATGACTGTAGAATCATCTTTTTGTCTTTTCCATTCTGTTGAAGTCTGATGTATGTATTTTGAGGCTCTTTAATTGGGTCAATAGATATTTATTATGGTTATATCTTTTTGTTCAATTGATGCTTTTTAAATCATCATATAATACCCTTCTTTGTCTCATACAATGGTTTGTCTTAAAGTCAATTTTATCAGAAATTAATATTGCCACTCATGCTCTTTTTAGGTTTTCATTAGCTCGATATATCTTTTTCCAACCTTTGATTTTTAGTCTACTTTTGTCTTTGTCTCTAAAGTGTGTCTGTTGTATACAGCATATATTGATGGGTTATGTTTTCTTATTCAGTCTGCAACTCTGCATCTTTTGAGTGGTGCATTTAATCCACTGACATTCAATGTACTTATCAACAAGTATGAATTTGTTGCTGTCATTTTGTTATTTTTTTTTTGTGTGTGTGTGGTGTTCCTGATTTCTTTGTTCCATATATTTTCTGTGTTGAGCTCATTATGTGTATGAATTGTGTTATCATCTCCTTTGTTGCTACTGATTTAGTATTTGCTAAATATTTGTGCTTGTCCTTTTATTGTGATGGGAAGGTTTACTGTTTTTCTTTGAGGTTACCCTGTCATTTATAATTTTCTCCCCAAGTTTAGAACAGTCCATTCGATCTTGCAACTCTCTTGACCTCCTCGCCATTTAGAAGTTCTGTAACTACGCTATTTTTTCCCTGTTTTTTGGTTTTAGTTGTCCTCATTTGCCAATTGATGTCTCTGGTTCCCTGTTTACAATCTCTTTTTTTGGATACTTCTATAGCTGTGTTGGTTTCTGGGTTATGTCATCTTGTGTATTAACGGTCGGTTGTTGTTTGCTATTATTGGTTCTCTGTTCAAAGAACTCCCTTTTAGTATCTTTTGTAAGATTGGTCTGGTTTTAACAAACTTCCTTAATTTCTTCTTATCTGGTAATCTCCTAATTTCACCATCATATTTGAGAGACAATTTTGGTGGGTATATATTCTTGGTTGTAAATTTTTCTCTTTCAGGGTTTTACATATACCATGCTGTTGAGGAGCTTTGGGGGTATAGTGCCTAAGGCACTACTTGATTGCTAACCAGAAGGCTGGCAGTTCAAACCCACCAGCCACTCCTTAGAAGGACAGTTGGGCAATCTACTTCTGTAGTGATACCACCTTGGAAACCCAAGGAGGGGTTGCTGTGAGTTGGGGCCAACTTGATGGCCCACAACAACAACACTGCCTTCTCACCTGCATGGTTTCTGCTGAGAAATCAGAGCTTAGTCTTATTGGCTGTCCTTTGCAGGAAACTTCTCATTTTTTCCATGCTGCTTTCAGGATTCTTTATCTTTGGTTTTGGCGAGTTTGATGGTATGTCTTGGTGATTTTCTTTTGGGGTCTATTCTGTTTGGGGTTTGTTGGACTTGAATGAATACATTTTCATCTTTTATAATATCAGGGAATTTCTCTTCCAACATATCTTGGGCAGTTTTCTCAGTGGTTTTCTTTTTCTCTTCCTATTCTGGAATTCTGATTACACGTAGGTTATTCCTTTTGATGGTATCCCACATGAACCTTAGTCTTTCTTCATTTTGTTTTCATGGTTTTTTCTGATTGAGCCCTTTCCAAAGAAGTATTCAGGTATTTGTCTTCAATCTCATTAATTCTGTCTTCCATTGATTCTATTCTATTCCTTTGCCCTTTCAACACGTTATATATTTCTGAAAATTTAGTAGGAATGTTCTGGACTTCTCTCTGTAGATTTTGTATCATTTCTAATTTTTCATTTATTTTGTCATGTTGTTCTTGGATTGTCCTTTGAAACTGTTCTAGGGTTTTGTCTCTGTTTTCCTTAATTTTATCAGTGTTTTCCTTGACCTGCCTCTCAACCCTTTGAAGATAACTAAGTGTAATTTTTTTAAATTCCTTTTCAGGGAGTTCCAATGCTGCTTCTTCCTCAGGGATGTGTTCTGGATCTGTAACATGGTCCCTTGTTTGTACTGCTTTATCTTGCTTCTTTGTGTGGACTGTAATCTCTGTTGCCTCTTCAGATATTGTGACTTTCTTGTTTGTATATTTAATTGGTGATTTTATGTTGGAGGATTTGCCCAAGATTTTAATTTTCTTTGGATTTTATCTAAGTAAGCAGGGTACTGTGCTCCTCTATTTGCTAGCTGGCACCACTTATACCTGTCTCCTTGCCTGTTGTCAGCCTCCTGTATGTCCCTGCTGTACTTGCCAAGCAGAGCTTATTCTTAGGTCCCTGGAATCCGAGTGAGAATGCTGTCACTTTAAATATCCAAAATGGTCACTTTTGCAAACCTTCAAAATGGCTCCACCCTTGGTTACTTTAAATATCCAAAACTGCTGCTACCCGTAAACAATCAAAATGGTTGCACCCTCCGGACAGCCGAAGGTCCATAGCTCAGGCTGTCTCCCTCCTTGCTGTTTCCCTTCCTAGTCATCGGCCACCAGCACAGTTGTCCCTGCAGCCTTTGGTGACCTGGGCTGATCTTTAGGTCAATTCTCAGGTCCCAACACCACTCGAAAATATTCAGGCTGTTGGTGCTATCAGTAGCTGACAGTCCGCAGCTCCATCCACCTCCATACTCACTGTTTTCACTCAGGTTCTTCCACTAGTTGGTGCTTAATCCACTTCTGTATACTTCCTTTCAAAGTTCAGGGCTCCAGGGTTATCTTCTGTATTTCTATCAATCGGTTTCCCTTTTCTTTGTTGAAGAGGGTCTGTGTAGCTTGTCTGCCTATTCCACCATCTTACCAGAAGTCCCAACGCTTGTCCTTCTTACTCAAAACCTTTAAACAGCAAATTAGAATACCCACATCCTATGCCTGTGCCAAGCACATAGCTCTTCCTCTGTATATTACAAGTCAGCTGCTCTCAAACTTTTATTTTTAAGCAGTAGAAAGAAACTTTCCTTCACATAAAACCTACCCCAAAACCATAAACAAATTAATAGACATATATTTGAGTTAGTGGATGATATCCTCCTTCAGAAAGGCCCTCAGACACTGAGGCAAAGAAACAAGTTTTAAAGTTTAATTCAATACACTCAGATAAGCCATCTGGATTTGCCACTTTCTAAATGTCCTCATTGTGCAAACGTTATTCAACCCATTTGAAAAGTGGTAAGTAATAATTATCAACCAATGCATGGTTCAATAGCTCCAGATTTCCAGCCTCAGTGGAGGGGGGGGATGGGGAGTGGAGAATGCAGGTTGGAACAGAAGACTGTATTCAGTGAAAGGCATTTAGATGATGAGGCTGAAGCACGTGGTTCAAGTGATGGCTCTGGTAGAAGATCAGGTTAGGAGAGGAGCCAAGGACCAAACAGTAAATGGCCTTCAACATCATGCCACACCACGTGAACATGTCTCTATACACAAAATTAAGTGGAAGAGTGATATGATTAAAATACACATGTACCTAAGAACAGGGCACTCAATATTTTGGAGCACTTCTGTTTTTTTGAAAATGGTTCATATGAAAGAATGAAAATGTCTGTGTAGTTAGTAAATAAAAATGGCAAATAATGTGACTATGCATTTAGGAAGACTGAGACAACAGTACAAGTTTTGCGACATTGTTCAAATAAATCTTCCTGTCAGAATCCATGTCAACATTTAACAGGTTGACAAAAGACATGGGGAGAAAGGACTAGGAACAGACCATGGGCTGATTGAGTCCACATCAAGGATTAGAAACTGTCTCTCATCCTTATAAGCTGGGGTGCCAGATCATGCATGTGGAGCTAAGTGATAGCTCCGAGGTCATCCTGGAAGTTGACTACTTGCTTCCTAGTAGACTACTTAAGTGACCAAAAGTGTGGTAGATGCTGGAGGATGGCTGATCCATATCACCTCAATGCTGCCTTTCCTAGGCCCTCTACAGTTAGAGGTGGCCTTGTGATCCAGTTCTGGCCAATGAGACGTGAACAGAACTTAGCCAGCTAAGTGTCGCTTCTGGGAAAGCTTTAGTTTTCCCGCTAAAAATGGAGAGTCTCAGCTGACAGACCCTTCCATCTATCATTGTTCCTCCTACTCCATGGTGCCTGAAAGCTCAGCTTCCATCTCTAGATCATGTGGTCATAGCACCAGAATGACAAGGTGCTAAGGATTGTGGCACAGAGAGGACAGGAGCACCTGGGCCCCTAGCAACATGTTTGAGCAACTTCATCAGTCCCAGGCCACTGATCTCCAGACATCTTGTCATAGGGATCATATGTTGTTGTTGTTGTTATGTGCTGTCGAGTCGGACCCGACTCATAGCGACCCCTCCTTGGGTTTCCAAGGCAGTATCACTACAGAAGTAGATTGCCCCATCTTCCTTCCGAGGAGTGGCCGGTGGGTTTGAACCACCAGCCTTCTGGTTAGCAGTCAAGTGCCTTAAGCACTACACTACCAGAGCTCCCAGGGATCATGTAATCCCCTAATTATTTAAGTCACCATAGCTGGTTTTCTGTTACTTCAGATAAATGCATTCCTATTGGAGGTGACATTCTCTGGATGACTCCGAGATTTTTTTTTCCCCACAAAAGTATATGATTTCTACTGGAAGAAATAGAGTTTTCTCCTTTAAATCTCTCCTCCAAACACACACTAACATTGTCTCACTATAAAAACAACTGGCACACACCTCATTGTATGGTCCCAAAGCAGATTAAAGAAATGTATCGACCTTTTTACATCTTTAAAAGAAAGTATGAAAACATACAAGGTATAAAAATAGAAAAACCCCAGACTACAAAAACAACATGCCTTGGTGGCAATGTACCTTACTAATATTACTTGAATGACTCATGGAGTGTCCCAAAGTCTTCTCATTCTGCAAGGAAACGAAACAAATGTTAATTATCAAGTTTTGATTAAAATGGGCAAAGAACAAGTAATTGATCATAACAATCCTAGTGACAAATCATTACTTCCACTAAATTTATTGAGCATAAAACCCTGGCATTGGGCCAGGTATTAGATATTGAAGAATTTGACAAACATGAATAAAATAATAGTTCCTGCCCCTAAAAAAAATTTAACATCAGACCAAGGAAAGAACAGGAAGTTTGGAATTAATTATAGAAATCAGAGGGAGTTAAGTGCCTTACGATACATTCTAGTAGAGGTTCAGAGGAAAGAAACAGCATGTTCAATTCTAGGTAACATCGTCCAAATTATGAAGAAACACAAAAAAGGGAAGAAGAAAGCAGGACAGACAACCTCATGAGTGATTTGGGTATGTCCTGGGTATTCAATAGGGAGGGACATGGCCCAGACCACCATTATTTGTTCAGCATATAGACTGAATAAGTATGGTGAAAGGATACAACCCTGACACACTCCCTTCTTGATTTTAAACCATGCACTGTCCCCTTGTTCTGTTCGAATGACAGCCTCCTGGTCTATGTACAGGTTCCTCATGAGTACAATTAAGTGTTCTGGAATTCCCATTCTTCTCAATGTTATCCACAATTTGTTATGATCCACATAATCAAATGCTTTTGCATAGTCAATAAAACACAAGTAAACATCTTTCTGGTATTATTTACCTTGAGCCAAGATCCATCTGACATCAACAATGGTTATCTCTTCTCGCTGGAGCCTGTTTCTTCTCCTGGACTAGAGAAATCTGGCAGTCACTCTAACCTCCTTTCTCATTTATCATCCCACATATTTAGTCACAAAGCCTTGTTTCACATTCTTGCTCAATTTCAAATCTTATCACCATTTCTATTGTCAATGCCTTAGTTTAATTTCATTTCTCACCTGTAATTCTCAAATAACCTCTACTCAGGTCCTTCTGTCCTTTAGGTTGACTTCCCTGATACATGAAACTATTTTTTACAAAGTCTCTTATTTTTAAAAATAAGTGAAATTCCAAAACAAAATTCTGATTTTAAAAAATATGAAAGTAATTTTCCTGAATCCACTCATCCTTGCTCTAAATCCAAATGAGTAAAAAGCTACTAAAAAGATTAGATTTTTTAAAAATATCTACTCTTGACGGCACATAACAACAACAACACTCTTGATTCACTTTACATGCCATGCAATAATTTAAGAAAGTTAAGATTGATATAAAATCAGAAAAGGCATCAGACCTAAGGTAAAATGGCTTAACTAATGCTAAAGGATGAGCATAACCTTTCACACAGATTCAAATTCTGTTGCTTAGGAATGAACCCTATCATTAAAGAAATGTTTTCCTTTGTGGTCAGGCTAAGAATGTAAATGCTACAGCAACATGGAGTCTGTAACCAACACCTTATAGAAATTCTTTGTTTCAGATCTCCCCAGGAAATTTTGTGTCCTGAGCAAGGTAAGAACCATCATGCCGTTGTTTTGTGATTGGTCATGAGAAGCCCCCTCCATGGACACGTACTTCGTAATTATGTCTTTTACTCAATCACTACACTCTGTTGTTGTCAAATCACTACACTCTAGGTGTATTGGTAAGACCAATAATATTAAAAACTGTGCTTTGTTTTTTCCTGCCTTTAATTCAATTATTGTAAATCAATCAGATTATTGTATTTTGTAGTTCTTTGTATAGTACTATAACTGTGTGATTCATGTCCCCTCCCTTGGATTCATGACTTCACTTGAGGTCTCCTTGATTCCCCATTTGAATGATATTCTGGCTTCAACAAATCTCTGATTTTTCCTGTAACAGAGTTAGAGAGTTTTTTCTCTCTCAAACAAGAAGTAATTAATAGGTAAAATAGCTTTAGTCAATCAGAAGTAGACAGGAGCTAGTGTTGTTTTTGTTGCTAGGTGCCTTTGAGTCATTTCGGACTCAGCAACCCTACGCACAGCAGAACGAAACACTGCCTGGTCCTGCGCCAGCTCCACGATCCTTGTATACTTGAGCCCATCGTCACTGCCACCGTGTCAATCCATCTCATTGAGGGCCTTCCTCTTTCTTGTCAACCTTCTACTTTACCAAGCATAACATCCTTCTTCAGGGAATGGCCCCTTATGACAACATGACCATAGTATGTGAGACCAAGTCTGGTCATTCTCATTTCCAAGTAGCATTCCAGCTGGACTTCCCCTCCAGGACGGATTTGTTAGATCTTTTAGCAGTTCATGATAATTTCAGCATTGTTTGCCAACACCACAACTCAAAAGCATCAACTATTCTTCAGTCTTTCTTATTCACTGTCCAGCTCTCACATGCATATGAGATGATTGAAAATACCATGGCTTGTGTCAGGCGCACGTAAGTCCTCAAGGAGACATTTTTGCTCTTCAGTACTTGAAAGAGGGCCTTTGCAGCCAATTTGCCCAGTGCTTTACGTCATCTGATGTCCGGACTGCTGCTTCCATTGGCATCGACTATAGAACCAAGCAATGGGAAGTCTCTGACAATTTCAATCATTTCTCCATTTGTCATGATGCTGTTTATATATAGGTCCAGTTGTGAGGATTTTTGTTTACTTCATATTGAGGTGTAATCCATACTGCAGAATGTATTCGTCAATCTTCATCAGAAAGTGCTTCAAGTCATCCTCACTTTCAGCAAGCAAAATTGTGTCACTAGCATATAGCAACAGGTTGTTAATGATTTTTTCCTCCAATCCTGATGCCACGTTCTTCTTCACACAATCCTGATTCTTGGATTATTTGCTCAGCATATAGATTGAATAAGTATGGTGAAAGGATACAACCCTGACACACTCCCTTCTTGATTTTAAACCATGCAGTGTCCCCTTGTTCTGTTTGAACGACAGCCTCCTGGTCTATGTACAGGTTCCTCATGAGTACAGTTAAGTGTTCTGGAATTCCCATTCTTCTCAATGTTATCCACAATTTGTTATGATCTACATAATCCAATGCTTTTGCATAGTCAATAAAACACACGTAAACATCTTTCTGGTATTATTTGCTTTGAGTTAAGATCCATCTGACTTCAGCAATGATATCTCTCGTTCCACATCCTCTTGTGAATCCAGTTTGCATTTTTGGAAATTCTCTATCAATATACTGCTGCAACCGTTTTTGAATTATCTTCAGCAAGATTTTACTTGCATATGATATTAATGATATTGTTCAATAATTTCCACATTCTGTGGGATCACCTTTCTTTGGAATGGGTACAAATATGGATCTCTTCCAGGCATTTGGCTAGATAGCTGTCTTCCAAATCTCGGCATAGCCAAGTGAGTGCCTTCAGTGGGGCATCCATTTGTTGAAATATCTCAATGGGTATTCTGTCAATTCCTGGAGCCCTGTTCTTCACCAATTCCTTCATTGCAGCTTTGACTTCTTCCTTCAATACCACTGGTTCTTAATCATATGCCACCTCCTGAAATGGATGAAGATTGACCAGTTCTTTTTGGTACAGTGACTTTGTGTATTCCTTTCATCTTCTTTTGATGCTTCCTGCATCATTCAATATTTTGCCCAGAGAATCTTTCAATATTGCAACTCGAGGCTTAAATTTTTCCCTCAGTTCTTTCAGCTTGAGAATGCCGAGTATGTTCTTCCCTTTTGGTTTTCTAACTCCAGGTCTTTGGAACTCATGGACTTGTTTTAATTGTCTTCAACTTCAAGTTGAACATGCATATGAGTAGTTGATGATCTGTTCCACAATCAGCTCCTGGCCTTGTTTTGGCTAAAGATACTGAGCTTTTCCATTGCCTCTTGCCACAGATGTAGTCAATCTGATTCCCATGTACTCCATCTGGCTAAGTCCATGTGTATAGCTGCCGTTTGTGTTGCTGAAAAAAGGCATTTGCAATGAGTAAGTTGTTGGTCTTGCAAAATTCTATCATGCAATCTCCAGCATTATTTCTGTCACCAAGGCCATATTTTCCAACTACCGGGATTCTTCGTTTCCAACTTTTGCATTCCAATCACCAGTGACAATTAACACATCTTGACTGCATATTCGGTCAAGTTCAGACTGCATAAGTTGATAAAAATTTTCAATTTCCTCATCTTTCGCTTTGGTGCTTGGTGCGTAAATTTGACTAGTAGTAATATTAACGGTGGGAGCTCTGGTAGCATAATGCCTAAGGCACTTGACTGCTAACCAGAAGGTTCAAACCCACCAGCCACTCCTTGAAAGGAAGGCTGGGCAATCCTACTTCTGTAGTGATACTGCCTCAGAAACCCAAGGAGGGGTCGCTATGAGTTGGGGCCGACTCAATGGCAAATAACAACAACAACAAATATTAATGGGTCTTCCTTGTAAGCGTATGGATATTATCCTATCACTGATAGCATTGTACTTCAGGACAGATCTTGAAACATTCTTTGTGATGATGAATGCCATGCCATTCCTCTTCCAATTATCATTTCCAGCATAGTAGATCACACGGTTGTGAGATTCAAAACAGCCAAAACCAGTCCACTTCAGCTCACTACTGCCTAGGATATTAATCTTTATGTGTTCCATTTCATTTTTGACAACTTCCAATTTTCCTAGATTCATACTTCATACATTCCCCATGTTCTGATTATTAATGGATGTTTGCAGCTGTTTCTCCTCAACTTGTGTTGTGCCACGTCAGCAAGTGGAGGTCCTGAAAGATTTACTTTATCCATATCATTAAGGTTGGTTCTACTCTGATGATGCAGCTCTTTTCCAGTACTGTTTTGAGTTTCTTCCGACCCAAGGGGCTTGTCTTCCTGCACTGTGTTGGACAATGTTTCCAAGCTATTCATCAAGTTGCCCGGTAATGTATCAGACAGTGTTTCTCTGCTATTCATAAGGTTTTCCCTGGCCAATTCTTTGAGAAATGGATGGCCTCTTCCTTCTTCCTAGTCTGTCTCAGTCTGTAAGCTGTGTTGAAACCTGTGTACCATGTGCAACCCTGCTGGTGT